AATTACAAACCGCATTAACTGTTACATTTTTTTTTTTATAAAAAATTATTTTCTATCTCTCCACTCCCTCTCTCTCTCTCTTTCTTTTACGTTGTGGTCATTTTTATTTTTAGAGAGTGGTGGTTTTTTTAAAAAAATATTTTACATGAAAAAGTAGCATAACGTATTTTTTTTTTTTTTTCGGTATAATTTAAAAACGTATAAACTCAACCATAATCCGTACATTTAATTTAATTAATTATAAATTTTTTTCCTTTTTTTTTAAAATTATTATTATTATTATTATTATCATTATCATTATTAAATTTAAGTTTATTTATCAACGTTATCAGTAAAATCCTTCTTCAAATGATTTTAAAAAAAAAAAAAAAAGTTAAAAAAAATTCCCTTTTTATTTTATTTTATCACAAGAGGCATCCGCCATTTTGTTACGTCATAATCTACGTCACGATACGTTCGAATTCGTTTGTTTTTTTTTTATTATTATTATTATAAATTTCTCGTGATGGTAGATAACTTATCCATTATATGCGATATTTCATCTAACGAAAGGTTATTATTAACTTTTTTATTTAAACGAATGAAATCTCTTTCTACACGAATAAAATTTCTTTGTAAACGCGACGGTAATTTTTTCATCCATATTTGTTTCAATATATCATCGGGAACGAATGTTTTCAATTGATTACGTAAGTGTTTGAGAAATTCCGACGGTGTTCTATCACCCATTTCTTCATTTTCTAAAATTTTTTTTATTTTCTCTTCGAAAAAAAAATTAAATTTTTTTATAATGACATCTTTGACAAAGTAATATTTATTATCGATCGGCGGAGGAGAAACGTAAAGTTCCCGAACGTACATTTCATATTTAGGTTTTAAAAGTGATAACGTCAAATCGTATTTCGCGTTGTCGTCATCGATAATTTTTCTTTTAGCAAAAACATCTTCCATAATTGAAAACCACAATGTTGGATTTTCCGGATTGAACGGTGGTATTTCCTCATCGTATGAAATTTCACTATTATTATTATTATTATTATTATCTAAAGACATTTGTTCGTTTTTGTACATTAGAAAAGGTAAACGAAAACACATTGCCGTAACACAAATTTTTTTAAACAAAATATTTTTTGTTGTTGCTGTTGTTTTCTTCTTAAAACTTATACCGAAACTAAAAAAAAATTTTTTTATTTCCAATTCATAATTATTATTGTTATTTCAAAGTAATTAAAACGTTTTTATCAACCAATTCCTAACCGTTATCTTATCTCTTATCTAATTAATATTTTTCTTTCGGTTATCAAACCGTAAAATTAAAAAAGATGGCGGAGGAAGAGGAAAAAGATGGGGAAGGGGCTGGAGAAATAAGATCAATGATAAACACTTGGGTAATGTTTTACCTTTTACTTATTAACCTCTTGACCCAGTGACGGTTGAGATTGTTGAGAACAGAGACGCCATTTTTTATTCCCGAATATGCTTTTCTGCACCGTGAACAGCTACGACCTCCCTTCGTCGAAAATCTTTTTAGTGGTTCTCTTGGCATTCCCGACAAAATGGGATACTGAGATTTACGTGATGGCATTTTCTTACACTCCAGAAGGCGTGTTAAACCGCAGAGTATTATCAAACAATGTCGTAGGGTCAACACTGCGGTTACTAAACGCCGCCCAAACATCAAAACCTACCGTTCCAGGATTGCCCGAGATTTAAACAAACCAAGTTCTTTCCTTTCATCCCTGATCATTGCCTCTATTTGAATCTGGAAACAACAACCATAACTCATTATCAACTTATCACCTAGTTTAAAGTCCACCCTTAGTCGAATTATCTCGGAAAATTATAAACCGCCAAGGTTGTACTTCCTGTTTAGCGCTAAAACGAAACAAACAACAAACGATAACAACAAGTATTGGGGGAAACCCATGTTATACGTTTTAAAACATTTTAAAACAGTAACAGAAAAAGAAGAATAATATTATTATTATTATTAACCAGGATTTTTCGTCGGGAGTTAAAAGGGAGAAAGAGAGAGAGAGAGGAAAGGAGGAAATCTGCCAAAATTCAATTGGTAACTGACCCATGACATATCACCGAAAAAAAAGGTTTTTTCGGATAAAAAAAACTTTCTGGCAAAATTTTAACACTTTTTTTGTTTTTTGTTCCATCCTGGAGAAAATCCAACATGGAGGACACTCACGAGAATAAAAAACAAATTGAATAGGAATAACGTTTATTTTAATTTTCACAATTCACAGGTTGTTTAAAAAAAAAAAAAAAAAAATTCCCCCCAATTTTCATTCCAGGATTTTTCATTCCAGCCAAAAAATAATAAAAATAATAATAATAAATATTGGGTCGAATAAAAAATTAAACAAAAAAAACTAACAATTTATCTTCTTCAAATTTCAACTCGAAAAAAAAAAAAATTTTTTTTCTTTTTTTTTTGTATCAATATTATTATTATTATTATTATTATTATTATTATTATTATTATTATTATTATTATTATTATTATTATTATTATTATTATTATTATTATTATCATTTTTCTTTAGAAAAAAAAATAAACTGGACATTTTTATTTTTTTTCACTCCAACAAAAAAAAAAAAGAAAAAAATTAATTTTGTTGCAATTTTACGGTTTATCTCGATTTAAACTATTCCAGTCACTGAAGTGGTTTTTTTTAATAATAATAATAATAATAATAATAAATTTTTTTTTTTATTTTCCAGCTTTTTCCAGCGTGTGTGAATTCCTTCTTTTTTTTTTTTTTTAATTAAAAAACCCGAAACGATTCATATGAGATTATCATATGATGTTTTTATATAATCCAAAACAAAAAAAAATTTTTTTTTTCCTTCTTAATCTTACTTAATCTTAGTTAATCCAAAATAAATCCGTAAAATTAACTTTTTTGGAGAAAAAATGTTTTTTTTTTTTTTTTTTTTTTTTTTTTTGTAAAGGATCGTGATAATTACCAAACGTATGGATGAATTCCTCCTGGAAATATTCTATTAAAAAAAAAAAAAAAAATCAATTTCGGTTATTTCTTATCAATAAAATTAATGGAGAGTGATAATAATAATAATAATCAGGTCAACCACCCCTGGCACGTTCTGGATAAGCCGGTTTCCATCATCAAAGTTTTTGTACTTGCGATAATCTCAAAAAAAAACCAAAAAAATTTTTGTTCTTCTGACGTCATAAGACAACTCCTGGTTACTTTGGGGATATCTGATAAGAGTGGTAAAAATACCAAACCCAACGACAAGTATCGCTGTAGTTCAGGAATTTATTCCTTAGGGATAAGGTTAGAGAAACCTGGAATAAATGTTGGAAGAAAAAAAAAAAAATTCGACAAGCGCAAGACAAATTGTCGCCATTAAAAAGTTATAATAATAATAATAATAATAACAGGAACGTTTTTTTTTACAGCGGTAAATTGTCACGTGATCTTAATAAGATTCTTTAAAATTTGAAATGGGGGGAGGGAGAAAAACCTGAAAGAAAAATTTTTTTTTTTTTTTAAACTCTCAAAGGGTTCAGGTTCTTCGTTTTCCCTTTTTTTTCCTAGAATTTTCTTTTAGCTTTTTTTTTTTTTATTTTTCATCTCAATTAAAATTTTTTTTTTTTTTATTTCAAAAACATAAAGGTGAAAGGAGAGAAAGAGAGGGGAGAATGCGAGGCATAACCGTAGGAAAGAGAGAGAGAGAGAAAGAGGGAGAATGTGGGGCATAGCCAGAGGAAGGAGAAATAGAGGGAATGTGAGGCAAAAACCAGAGGAAAGAGAGAATGCGAAGTAAAACTGGAGGAAAGAGAAAAAGAGATAGAGAGATAGTCAGAGGAAGAGAAAGAGAAAGAGAGAGAGAGAGAGAGAGAGAGAGAAAGAGAAATTGTAATTTACCATCACTAGGAAGAAAATTCATTTTTATTTTATGTCAAATCGACTTTTATGACTGATTTGATTTCCTTTGTAAATGATAAAACAAAACAAAAAAACATTCTTTTGTGTTGATTGTTTGTTTGTTTGTTTGTACGTTTGTATGTTTGTACGTTTTTTAATAACATTACTTTAAACCGCGTATAAAAAATAAATGTTTCAAAAAAAAAGAGAAATTAATTTACTAAATTAAAAAAAAGTTTTTTTTGTTAAAAAATTCGTAATATGCTTTTTTTTTTGTTAATTGTTATCAAAGCGTCGGATTTAATAGCAGAAGACGCAACAAAAAAAACCGTTATCTTTATCGTTCGATCGTCTGAATTTAAATATAAAATTTCTTTTTATTTTTTTATTTTTTTTTTTTTCAGACCGTCTGATGGATACGAAAAACTTTTCGTTAAAATTTTTTTTTATACGATTTTTATTATTAAACTTTTTTTTAAAAAGAAAATTATAATCATTATTATTATCATTATTATTATCATTATTTAAATGAAAAGGTCTGGTAAAAAAAAAAAAAAAGGATTATTAAGATTTTGTAAAAGCGAAATAACCTTTTTTAGTTTTTTTTTTTCAATTATTTCACCCTTGAAAAACTTTTTCGATTTTTAAGGTTTGAAAATTTTTGCAAAAAAAATTTTCCTCTTTTTTTTTTCCTTTCTTTATTATTTTTATTTACCCGCGTCATTTATTTATCTCACTCTCGATTTAAATAAAAAAAAAAACAGTGTTACCAATAGCGTAACAAAAAAAAAAACAAAAAATTAAAAAGAAGAAAAAGGAAAATTTTTTTTTTTTAATCGGAAAAACTCATTTGAAATTAATCAAATTTTTTTTCTCTCTTAATGGAAATGATACCGGTATTACGTCATCAGTACTATTACGTCATAAAACGTACGATCGATAAAAATAATTTTTGGTTTTTTTGTGAGATCAAAACGATTTTGCCAACTTGTTGAAATTTTTTTTTTTTTTTTTTTTTTTTTTAATAAATAAAAAAACAAATTTTTTACCGACCGTTATTTTTGTTTGTTACAGATTGTTTCCGGTTTCCCGATGGATTACTTTATACTTTTGATAATATTCGTATCGACATGCGTCGCAGGTCCGCCAAAATGTCGCCTTTCTGAATTTTTATGCGATTCGGGTCATTGTGTTGCTTTAGACAGATTTTGCAATGGAGAAAATGATTGCGGAGATAAAAGCGACGAACCCAGATATTGCACTCGTAAGTTTTTTTTTTCCTTTTTTTTATTTATTTTATAACGATTCCGTCGCCATATTTTTTATCATCATTATTATTATTATTATTTCGTATACTAAAAATTATTTTATTTTTTATACCGGATATTTTTTATCGATTTAAAAAAAAGGAAAAAAACCTCGAGGAAGAGTGAAAATAATTTTATTTATTAAAAAATTATTTTCCGACATTTTTCTTTTTTTTGGGGGTGGAGGGAGAAGAAGGGAGGGGGATGGGAATGGGGATAACAAATTTATTTTTTACGGGTTTTATAAAATAATTAATTTTTTTTTTTTTCTGTACAAAAAATAAAAAAATAAATACGTATAATGAAAACGAATGGCGTCAAAAAATAAAAAATAAATTTTTTTTTTCCTTCCTTCCTTTCTTTCTTCCCCCCTCTCTCTCTCGCTCCTTCACAATTTCCCCCTCTCTCTCTCATTTTTTTTTAAAGACGTTTTCGGTTTTTCATATTCGAATAAAATTGACCGTTACTTATATATATATATTTGATGCATGCGTGGGAAAAATTATTTACGGTACACAAAATTCCCATATGTTACTTTCGTATACACGTTTCATAACTCAATGAAAAATTCATAAAAAAAAAAAAAATTGAATGTATCGCGACAATAAAATTTACGAGTTTTTTCTTTTTTTTTTTTGAAAAATTATTATTATTATTATTATTATCGTAGCCGTCGTGAGTAAGGTGGTGAGTGCGTGACGTAAGAAGTGGGGAGAAGGAGGAAGACAAGGGGGAGGGGTTGAAGGAAGGTGTCGATGACTTGTTTGACTGCTTCGGATTAAAGGATTAAATAATTTTCTCCAAAGTTCTTTTATTAATATTAATTTATGTTGTTCACACGAGCATTCATATTTTTTGCTTTTGATCCCTGTTCACACGCGCACGTACACACGCACACACGCACACAGTTACACGAACGCACACGCACACGCACAAGATTCGTTAACAATTTTCTTTAGCAAACGTTTTTGCATTTGAATTTTAAATTAATTGCCAAAAGGTTGGCAGCGAATGAGAGGGGCGGGGCGAGGCGGGCGGAGGGTAAGGGGGGCGGAGATTAGGGGTGGAAGTGTAAGGGTGAGGTGAGGAGAGGCGAGGGGGAAGAGTAAAAGTTCCTTTGTCGGAAAATAAATTATTTACATATCATTACTTTCTTATGTTCAAATTCGTAAAATTTATTTATTTGTATCACATGACTCTTTTACCGTTTTTTTTTCTTTTTTCTTTTTCAAAATGGCGGAAAACTAATTTTTTTCTTTTTTTTTTACCTTAAATTTTCATTTTTTGTTTGTGTTTTTTTTTTTTTTTTAGTTCGAGTGAAAAAGGGTAAAAAAAAAAAAGAGAGAGAGAGAGAGAGAGAGAGAGAGAGAGAAAGAGTGAATAAAAAAAATTTTTTTTTTTCCTTTTCGATTTTTTATTTATGAATGAAAATATAATTTTGCTTCGAGTCAAAAATGATTGCTCTCGTTAATAATAATCACCCTTTTCTCTCATTTCACTTTCTTTTTTTTTTCTCTTTCCCGCCAAAATTTAAAATAATCATTTTTCGCGCGAGAATTGTACGGACAATGATTTATTTATAGTCTTTTTCTTTCTCTCTCAATTTCAGTTTTTTTTTATGATATAATTTTTTTCCCCACTCTCTCTCTCTCTTTCTCTTCTTTTTTTTCCTTTTCCTTCTCTCCCCCCCCTCTCTCCCCCTTTTATTTTTTTCCTTCTTCCTTCTCTCTTCCTCTCTCTCTCATCCTCTTCGTTCCCTTTCTCTCTTTCCCTCTCATTCTCTTCCTTCCCCTTTCTCTCTTTCTCTCTTTACCCGTTTTTCACCTTAATCCTTTTCATTTCGTTTCATTTAGTAAAAAAATGTGAGTGACGCGAATTCGTAGAGGAAATGTATCGAGGGTAAATAATACATATATGTGGGCAACAACCCACGAATGAATGAGTGAAAAAAAATTTTTTTTTTTTTTGTTATAAACTGTCAAAAAAACATTTTTATTTTTATACCCGGAGAAAAAAAAAACGAGCCTGTGGGATGTGCTTGTGAAAAAAGAGAAGAAAAAAAAGAAGAAGGAAAAAAAAGAAAGAAGGTAATAAAAGAAGGAAATGTTCTAAAAAAAAAAAAAAAAAAAAAAATTTCTTTTACCTTTAAAAAAAAAATGAATACCGTGGAAAAGTTGAGCTCCTACTTCTTTTCCTTTTTTTTTTATACTTTTATGAAAATTAAATTTATAACTTTAGTATATAAATAATGTATATACATACATAAATATATATATATTAATAAAAAAAAAAAAAAGGTTAAAATTAACCCCTGAAATTTTCATCCTTTTTTTTTTTATAATAAAAACGAAAAAGGAAAAAAAAAAAAATTAAAAATTAATTAAAACGATAAATTTTATAAGATTTAATTAATTTAATTTTTTATTATTATTTATTAAACGAATTAAAACATTTTTTTAAATAAAAAAAAATTTTAAATCGTCTAATTCCACGATACTTTTTCTTTAAAAAAAAAAAAAAAATGGCGTGAGAGGCTATAACGATATTTTTATTTTGAAATATTTTCAACTCTCACGAATATAAATAAATAATTTTTTAAAAATTAGTTATTGTCTTCATCTTGTTAATAATTTATCTAATCACTTTTCATAAAAAAAATGTTATGATAACAATTTGAATGATAAGAAAAAACAAATAAAAAAGAAAAAAAATTTTTTTTTTTTTCATTCGTTTTTATGTAATTTTATAATTTTTTTTAAAATTTAAATTGAATTGTTGCGCTTATTAAAATTCAATTGTAAACATCTTCTTCTTATAAGTAATATTTTTGATTATTTTCCTACGCGTTTGTTTTGAATTTTTTTTACGAGTGCATAATTGAACGCATTGTATATTGCGTAATTTCGTGCGTAATGCGTGTGCTATTATTATTATTATTATTATTATTATTATTATTAAAATGAATGGGGGGGAAATGAAAGGGTAGGGAAGGGAAGAGGGGTGGGGAGAAAAAAAACAGATTTTTATGTATTATTCCCACGTCGTGTGAAATTTGAACTTTTCCTTTTTAATTTAAAACGCATCTTTCTCTCTCTCTTTCTTACTCTCGCTACGAATAATGAAATTTTTTTTCAGAATCCTAAAGAGAGTGAGAGAGAGAGAGAAGGAAAAAAAATTTTTTTTTTTTGTTATTTTCTGTTGTGATAGGAAGTTATGTTAAAAATGCCAAATGCGGCGTGATACGAATAACGATAGACGATATCAAAAAAAAAAGTTTTGGTTGAAAATTGAATTTGTTTGTTCTGAAAAAAATTTGCTGTTGCACTTTTCGAAAATTAATTTTTTTTGTATATTTTATAATTTATTGTTAAGAAAGAAAAACAAAATGGCGGATGAAATGAAAAATTCGGGGGGTTGATAAATAATTTTTTTTTTTTTTAATTTTCACCGAACGTTTTGTTTACGAAAAAAAATAATAAAAAAAAACGTTCAGAAATTTCTTATTAAGAACTTTTCTTTAAAAAAAAAATTATCAAACATTGTTACCAACTTAAAATTTTAATCGTTCTTTTTTTTTTCGAGGAATAAAAAATTTCGCGTTTCCGTTAATTTCGTTTCAATTTTTTTTGTATTTTTTTTTTTCGTAGAATTTTAACAAAAAAAAAAAAAAACAATTGAGATCGTGACGAAATAATAATAATAATAATAATGATGATGATGATGATAATAATAACAGGGGGGGAGTTTTTTTTTTTGTTGGTTATCATGCAATAAACGCATTAAGAATTTCTTTGCATTGAAATTTTTTTTTTATAACAAACGAACGTTAATTTATTATTATTGAAAGAAAGAAAGAAAGAACAATTGTCAGATGTAAGAAAAGGCGTTCGGTTTTCTTTTTCTTTTTTTTTTAAAGGTTGGAGGGGGGGGGTGAACGAAGTAAATGGAGGGGGTTCGACGAAAGAAATGAAAAAAAAAAAAAAAAGAAAAAAAGGACAGTTTTTTTTCCCATACATTTATAATAAATGAACGTGGAATAAATATTTGGATTCGAGATTTTTGTTTTTTTTTTTTTTTTTTTTAAATGTGAGATAAATTTTTTACGTTTTTTTTTTAGACAAATCAACCTATTGATAATTCTCTCTTTCTCTCTCTCTCTATTTTTAGCTCTTTTTTTGACTGCCTCTTTTCTTCTCTTTATCCGTGTCTATCTTTTTTTTCTGCTTTTCTGGCTTCTCTTTCTATGTTTTCACATCTCTCTCACTTTCTCTCTCATTTTCTAGCTTTACTCTGTCTTTCTACCTCTTTCGGTTTTTTTCTCTCTCTATCACTTTCTACGTTTCCACGTTTCTCAAACTTTCCTTCTTTTTCTCTCTTTATTTATCTCTTTGTTTTTCAGCCTTTATTTTTTTCTCTCTCTCTCTTTCTCTAACTTTCCTTCTTTTTCTCTCTGTTTTTCTGGCTTTTTTCTCTCTTTCTGTCTCTCTCTCTCTCTCTCTGTGCTTCCACGCCTCGTTTTCTCTGCTTTTCTCTATTTTTCTGGCTTTTCTTTCTCTTTCTCTTTTTTTTTATTCTTTATTTTCTAGATTTACTCTCTCTTTCTGCCTCTCTTGGTTTCTCTCTCTTTCAATTTTTCTCTTTTTCTTTTTTTCTTTGTTTTTCTACCCCTTTATCTCTCACTCTTTCTATGTTTCCACATTTCTCTAATTTTCTCTCTTTCATTGTTTATCACCCTGTTTTCCTGTTTTTTTTTTCTCTTTCTGCCTCCTTTTCTTTCTCATTCTCTACCTCAAACGCATTTTTCTCCCTCTCTCTCTCTCTTCAACATTTTTTCATTTTATACGTTTTTTCCCGAAAGGAATAATTGAATATTATACTTTCGAGTTTGAATTATTGATGAAAAATAATATTAAAAAAAAAAAAAAAAGCA